CCCAAAACCCCAAAACCCCAAAACCCCAAAACCCCAAAACCCCAAAACCCCTCAGTATAAATTCTTAAAAAACACTGAGAATGAAAAAATGATAGACATTGAATTTCAATTTAATCTTAAAATAAAATATAAGCGCTTCAGTAAGTATATTGTTCTAGGTATTTTTGTGTGTAATCATCACAGGACAAAATATGAAAATTGTGTCCGTTAATCTTGACGTCTCCTCCGATGGCAATGTCTGTGGGTGTGATGAAATCATTGTTTTTGTCAGCATTCTTATACTTTCTTCTTTCTAAGAATTTACCCTCAATAATACCTGAGTTCTTTTGGGCTGGCTCGAAAATTGAAATGGTATCATCTGACAAGAAGAATGAAATGATGAATCTTCTGTCGGTGTCCTCTGGAGTTCTAGTGTTGAATCTAGCAGTGAATCTGAGGACCTTTTTGTCATTATCGACGTACTTGAAGAAGTCTCTCTTTGGTTGATTGGGAAGAAGCTTGAAAACGTATCCTAGTGAATCAGTTTCGTCTCCGAATCCATTGTGGGGTGGAATTTAAATTGGCTTTGGCTCTCTTGGCTTTGGGTATTCGATTTCACCTAAATCAAAGAACTTGTTGTACTTTTGCTGATAGAATTCCTTGGTGAATTGATCGACTCCGGTGATTCTGAATTGTCTGCCGAAGGCATCAATGGTTCCCTTTGGCTCAATTTCATCGCAAGTCAAATAATTATCTCCAATAAAGTTTTGTCCTGGTTGATTTACAGCAAAGTTTTGTGGAAGTTTTTGTCTCTTCAAGAGGAGAGCAAATGAATCTCTACCATCATTGGGGTGATGGACTTCTCTTATTTCACAGGTATCATCGGCAAGATAGTAATGAATGATGAATGGAAGATCGTCACACTTTACAAAGAATCTCAATACTTTTCTGTCATTATCTAAGAATTGCTTTTGCGAGGTAACTCTTCCTCCTCCTAGAGCTTTTTCCAAGAACTCCTTCATTTCTGTATCCTTCTTGGTTGGAACCTTGATTTGTTGCTTTGCAAAGCTGTCTACTGGCAATTATTGAGCGTCTGGTTGAGGTTGACCAATGTTCTATAAAAAACAGTTATGAAATTTAAAAATTCTTCTTACATCAAAGAACTCTCTGGTGTATTGATCTGCATCGAAAATTCTAATCGATCTGCCCAAAATTCCGACGTCAAGTCCAACTCTGAAATCAGTTGGGAGAAGTGGGGTGTTAGAGCCGTCTTGCTTTAGCACCATCTGCCTCTTCAAAAACACTCCTTGAGGAGTTCCACTGTTGACTTCCTTTGGCTCATTAATCATGAGGGAATGATCTTCAAGGTAGTACATAACGATGAGTTTTCTTATTCTGTAGTTTTCCAGTCTGCTCTCTACGACGCTCTCCTTGAAATAACCGTAAAATCTTAGTACCTATATAATAAATAATTTTATTAAGAGCACAAGAAGAGAAAGTAACGATTATCAGCTAGGCTGATCAGGGTGTATTAAGGCTTACCTGCTTATCGAGCTTGACGAATGTGGGTTCATATTGCTCTTTAATGTCGCCTCCGAAATGGTTCTTATAGATGCTTTGACTGAAACTCTTGCTCTCTTCAGGTTTGCCTCCAGAGAGAGTAGATGTGGGGCCGCGGGGTAAGCTGTAAAGGGGAACTGCTATATTCTTTCCATTCTAGATCTGCTCTAGCTTTTTGTGTGAAATCTTCTTGTGACTCACTAGTGTAGGATCATGGGTTGGCACAAAGCCTGGAAGTTTTGGGAAATTTGAAGCCATTTTTGTGTGAATTATAATCTCAATGAAAAAGATTGACGACTGCTCTAAGCTCTAGAATTAATATATTTATATAACGATTCATTTATTCTTACTTAAATTCAAATCTTTTCTATTTTATTTTATTTAAAATTATTGAACTTTGATATTTCATCTGCGAGGGGTTTTGGGGTTTTGGGGTTTTGGGGTTTTGGGG